AGGCAGCTCCGCGGGCTGTTCTGAGGCTGCCGGTTCCGGCGAAGAACCCTCCGCCGCCGCCATCGCCAACACACTCACAGAACCGCCGCTCCCAGCGCACGCGCATTGCGCGCCGAAGCGAGCCCACGGCCCCGCCCCGTCACCGGCACCTCCTTTGCAGCCTGTTAGGGAGTGAAAGCGCCTGCGCAGTTGGTGGGAGGGGAAAGCGGAAGGGGCGGGAGGTGGAGTCTGAGCATGCGCAGAAGCTGGGCATACCTATCTACTTGCTCTTTCGCAACCTGGGAGAAGGGTTGGTTTTGAAATCAATTTTCAGGACCTGGTCATCTTTAAAATAAGAGTTTCGCTCGGTGGTTCAGAATATGGGCTTTGGAGTCAGACCCGGGTTAAATTCTAGCTCTGACAGTTGCAATCTGTGTGACCTTGGGCAAGTTATTTAACCTGAGTTCAGTTTCTTCAGTGGTAAAATGAGGATAATTAAGGAACCGCTTCTTGGGTCGTTGGGAAAATTAGATGTGCCAGCACAATGCCTGGCACATAGAATTCTTCAAAAAATGATAGCAGCTAGCAGTAGTAGTTCCAATCACAGAGACCAATAGATGATTGGTATTTTATTGTGGACTCATGACCTAGGTAACCCAGGTTAGATTTGAAATGACAAGACCTGGGTTCCAACTCTTAGTTGCTGTGTGACCTCAGACAAATGCAGCACCTGGCACCAAGGCTGGTATGCATGAGGTAGGCTATCTTTCCGTGGAATATTCCTTCAGTGAGGATGAGCTGCTGCCAGGTAGACAGTGGGTTTGAATTTAGGCAAATATCCTGACTTCCCAAAAGTGTGGCAAGTGGAACAAAAGAAACATTGCATGCTTTTCCAAACATGTATACTTTTTCTTTATTACAAATAAAACTTACTTGAAACCAGTAAACAATATGTTCTAATTACTACATATACCATTTGGGACTAGTTTTTATAAAGACTAACCTGACACACCAAGATTTCCCACTAATATTCAGTGGTTAATGTTTGAAAAGCACATCCAGTAGTTCTAACCTATTGGTCATGTATATACATCTGCAGAACGTTGTATAAAGCAGATACGTGCTAAGATGTTCTCATTCAACTGGAGGTAGAAATCTCAAGCTATCCCCATCCCCTTTCCTCTTAGAACCCTCTTTCTCCATATTCACTGATCTTGTTCAGGTGAAGAAAACCTCAAATTCCATCAAATCAAAAGCAGAAGCAACAACAATAACAAAAAAAATTGATAAATTGGACTTTATAAAAGTCAAAAACCTTTGTGCATCAAAGAACACTATTAAGAAAGTGAAAACGCACACAGAATGGGAGAAAATATTTGCAAATCAGATATCTGATATGGGTCTAGTATCCAGAATATATAAAGAACTGTTTTTAGCTCAACAACAAAAAGACAAACAACCCAATTTTAAAATGAGAAAAGGAATTAAATAGAAATTTTTTCACAGATGGCCGACAAGCACATAAAATATTTCTCATTAGTCATTAGAGAAATGCAAATCAAAAGCACAGTGAGATACTACCTCATGCCTAGAATGGCTAGAATTTAAAAAGAAAAATAAAAGGACAATAACAAGTACTGAAGAGGATGTAGAGAAATTGGAACTCTTTACCTTGTTGGTGGGAAGGTAAAATGGTAGAGCCACTGTGAAAAACAGTTTCTCAGAAAGTTAAACCTCAGACTCCCATATGAGTCAGCAGCTCCACTCCCAGGCATATACCAAGAAGAACTGAAAACAGGTGTTCAAACAAAAACTTGCACATGAATCTTCACAGCAGCACTATTCACAATAACAAAGCTGGAAACTACCCACATGTCTGCCAACTGGTGAATGGAAAAACAAAATATGGTATATACACACAAAGGAATACTATTCAGCCATAAAAAAAGAATGAAGCACTGACACATGCTACAACATGGATGAACCTTGAAAACATTATGCTAAGTGAAAGAAGCCAGACACAGAAGGCCACATGTACGATTCCATTTATATAAAACATTCAGAATAAGCATAGTGACAGAAAGCACATTAGTGGTTGCCAGGGGCTGAGGGGAGGAGGAAAGGGGAGTGACTGCTTAATAGGTATGGGGTTTTCTGTCGAGGTGATGAAAATGTTCTGGAACTAGATAGTAGTGATGGTTACAAAGCATTGAGAATGTACTACAATGTATGTAATTTCTATTTTATGTGTATTTTATCACACACACAGAAAAAACCCCTTCAAATTCTGATTGGGCCAGGTAGTTACTGGAAATTAATGATTCTGGCCAGTTGTAAAACTGAGGCAAACTGGAGCACAGAGGTCCCTCTTTAAGGGAGCAGCTTCTATGCAACACCAGCTGGTAGTTGCAGAGAGAGAATTTGGGCCCATTTCTGCGAGTTTGTCCAATCTTTCAAGAAAAGTAACTGTTTCTCGAATTTTAATGAACATGCAAGTCACCTGATTATATTGTTAAAATGAGGACTCTGGGGCCGGCCCGGTGGCGCACTGGATAAGTGCGCCGCTTGGGAAGCGTGGCGGCGCTCCCGCCCGAGGGTTCAGATCCCACATACAGACTGGTTCCCGCTCACTGGCTGAGCGAGGTGCGGGAGCAACACCGAGGGTTGCGATCCTGTTGCCGGTCCCCGGTCCGGTACGGGGGCAACACTGAGGGTTGCAATCTGTTGCCGGACACGGAAAAAGACAAAAGACAAAAAAAAAAAAAAATGAGGATTCTGATTCAGGAGGTCTATGGTGGGACCTGAGAATGTGCATTTCTAATGAGCTTCCTGGTGGTCTTGTGGCTCCACAGAGCACATAGCAAGCATCGAGATGACAGGTTCTCAAACTTGGCTGAACAGTGGAAGTACTTGGGGAGTTTAAAAAACAATAGCTCGGGCTGGCCCGGTGGCGCACTGGAGAGTGCGGCACTTGGGAGTGCAGCGGCAGCGCTCCCGCCGAGGGTTCAGATCCCATGTGGAGACCGGTTCCCGCTCACTGGCTGAGCGAGATGCAGGCGCAACACCGAGGGTTGCGATCCCGTTGCCGGTCCCCGGTACGGGCGCGACACCGAGGGTTGTGATCCCCGTTACCGGTCAGTAAAAAAAGACAAAAAGGGGGAAAAAAAAAAAACAATAGCTCTTAAGCCCTGCTCCTAGAGACTCTGATGTCATAGGTCAGAGGTGGGACCAACCATCAGGATTATGAGAAGCCCCACTCTCCTACCCCACCCCCCAGGTAATTCTAAGGGCAGCAAACTTTGGAGAGCCAGCACCCTAGATGACCTCTATGGACTCTGCACACCTCTAAGAGTCTCAGAGTCTCTAAGAGTCTCTAATAGACAATGGAACATTTCTGGAGGACAAAGTAATTGAGAATAATTAGTCCCCAGAACCTCCTCCCCAACAAAGCATTCCAAGCCTGAGTACCATGGTACATGAACCAAAGCTCAGGTGCTGCCCAGGCCCCAGTATGATGTAACTCTTAGCAACCTGTTGGTCTTCTTTTGCTGGTAACTCCCTCTCCTTTGGCATGCTGACCTTTGTTAGCAAGTTTCATGTAACTGGGTCTGAATTGTTAGTTGGCGCCTCAACCAAACTAAACCGAGACTCCTTCTTTAGAGAAAGGAAGTGTGCGTGCCCCAGCCCAGGGTACAGTAGTCCTTGCCCAGAGCAAAGCAGCATGAGTCATGTTCGTGGGAACAAAAAAGGAAAACAGGCAAGGAAAATAGAGCAATGGATGTGTTCTTGCCTCTCCCCATTCCCAGTCTCGGGGAAAACCTGTGACTTCATCTATCATCCCGCTCTGTACCTCTCTCATCTCCCAGCCCAACTGTGATCCTGGCTAAAAGAGGACACTTAACAAAGCACAGGAAGAATTGAAAGCCCTGACTGAAGCCTGAAAAGAGGAGGCAGGTAAGAATGGGAGCCAGAAAGGGGAATAAGAAACTTGGCAGGGTTTCCTGATGGGGCCTCCTGTCTGTGCATTACTGGGGTTATTCATGCCTCAGATGACAGGCTGTGAACACATTTGCCTTTATTATCTAGTAAATAGTACATGTATGTAGCTTTCTTTTTTATTTTTATTTCCCCCTGATTCCTTGTAGCTTTCCCCATTCATGTGGTCACTTGGAACACCACTGGCATCCAGTCACAATAGGGAACATTTGCGGGAAGGAACATACAAAGAGGGAGTCTCCCTGGGACAGGGGTGCAGCAACACAGAAATTAGCCTGATCCCGTTGACTTCGGCTGTGTTGACTTAGTAATCCAGGAAGATGCTGGGCTTGACCAGGCAAACCCTCCTTCTGGAGAAACTTAGATTTCAACCTCCCTGAACCCAAAGCTGAAGGGATTGAGGCAAAAGCATCCTAGTGAA